GAAATAACCCCCCCCCCAAAAAAAAAATTGGTTGCCCGAGGCAGCTGCCTTAGGTTTTCTACCAGTAAGGCTGGCCACACTCCCAGGAACAAGCATTGTTGAACACAGGAGGCTTTGCAGTGAAAACATGCATGTGGCTTTAGTTCTGCAGAAGCCTGTCCTGTGAGATTCCTTCTCATCCAGTTGGTAAGAAAAATAATTCTAAAATAAATTGTGGCTGATGGGAGAAAGCAACAGCCTTACCCAAACTCCATGGTATTTCAGGAGTGGGTGGTTGGGAAGCGAAGGGTGAGTCAGCAGACAGAATTGTCTTTTTGAAGCCGATGGGATACTAGGATGTAGGGGGGAAAATTCATCAAGGCCGATTATTTTAGAAGAGAATGGGCTAACTCCCTTATTTGTGAACTGGAATGCACGGTGCGTTGAAAAGTCCACTCTTTAGAACTATTACTTTGAGTTTTGAGACCTTTGTCTTTGGGAGAGCAAGAAGGAGTCGCAACCTTAGCAAAACCTCACATCCAGGGGGTTTGTAAATTCGGCAACCATTAATTAGGTTCGCTAGCCCTCTCTCTCTCTCTCTGTCCCTGAGAGCATTCGTCAGAAGTTTATCTGATTTCCCAACTGATCAAGCTGCAGCTTCTCTTCGTCGAAAGCAAAGGAATGTTTACAGGAAGAAACAAAATACAGGAAGGCAGTAACCAGGGGAAACCTTGGGCTTGTGAAAGATTGCTCCGTTTTCCAAATAAAATGTGCGTAATGCAGGTCGCGGTTTGCTCAGACCCAGTGAGTGGGTGGGCGGTCGGGCGGTCAGGTGGGTGGTTGAAAAGCCAGAAGGAAGCAAAAAGCCCCGCTTTCCCCGAATGGGTTTCTGTGAGCACAAGATGATAAGGAGGTGGTGCGTCTCTCTGATGAAATGCACACCTGCATCCCGACAGGTGCACAAGCCAGTCATCGCCACACCATTGTTTAGGGGACCCGGAAGCACCTTGCGGTCAGAGTCTTCTTGGAATAAAGAACATGTCTCATTGTCATCGACCGAAATGACGAGAGAGGTGCCCAGAGGGGTTCGGCTGCCAGCCCATTTTGCAATAACGAGGTGGAAAGGAACACTTAATCTCGGGCAAAAAGGGACATCCCGCATTCATAAAGGAAGCAGCACGCAACACACCTCGGCCTTCATCCCTTCGTGGTAACAAGATCTACGGAGGTGCATGACCAAATCTGCCCATCTGCTCCTTCCTTCCTTCCTTCCTGCCCAGCTGTGGCATCAAGAAAGGACGGCACACACTCAGGCCCCAGGGCCTGAAGGCCCTTCCACCCCCCCACGCAAGGCTTTCTCGGGGATGCCCCTGGCTGGGCCTGTGTGAACCCCTCCCCAGGGAGGCTCGCCAAGCCCCCACCTGCCTGGCTCTGAGAAGCTCCAGGGAAACCCTGGGGAAGCTCCTTGAAAAGCCCCCCCCCGCCTCTTTGGGGCTCTCGATGTTTGTTTTATCGCCATTTCCGATGGCACTGGAAGATATTTTGTAAGCCACTTTGGGGAAGACTCCAGGGACGGGGCGGAAATGTCAGAAGACAGAACCTGCTTTGCTCTGAGCAGCATCAGTTGAAGGGAAAGGCAATTAAAACACAGCTCAGGGGTGTGATCTTTATCACAAGGGTGGGGGCCCCAAGTTCGGAGAGCCAGGTCTCTCGGGGGGGGCGGCTGCTGGGCTCACCCACCCATTTTGAAGTGCTGCTTTTTAAGGCCCCCGATTGACCCCAAGTGACCTTTAAGGTCAGGAAGGGATATCTGACTGCCCCCTGTTGAGAAAGGGTGCATGGAAGGGGTCTCCAGGTTTATCCAAAAGGAAGTGGGTTGCTCTTTATATGTTGTTTCTGGCGTTTTCATTTCACTCCCCCCCCCTTTCCTGTACCTCCTTCCTTGTCCACTTTTAGACCATCTGCCTGCACGTGAGCAGAGACCTGGCCTGCAGTACTGGAAGGAACGCAGAAACCTCCTCAGGTTTAATCCTGTCCTTCGTTTTCAACCTGTCATTTCTTTATTAGAGGATTTATCCAATCCTGAGAGAGAGTGAGAGAGAGCAAGAGAGCAGAATATGGATATGCTGGGGTGATTAAATAAATAAAGACTGTGTGTTGCTTATCTACTACCCCATAACGCTTAAAGCACTCTCTGGCTGATGGTTTTTGTCAGTTTTTCAGGCTCTTTGGCCATGTTCTGAAGGTCGTTCTTACTGGCGTTGCGCCAGTCTGTGACCTTGGGCATCTTCGGAGGACTGGAGTAGGAACTCTGTCCATGTTCTGTTGCTACTCCTGTCCTCGGAAGATGCCCATGGCCACAGAGACTGGCGAAATGTTAGGAAGAACAACCTTCAGAATATGGCCAAAGAGCTCGAAAAACCCACAACAATCATCATAAACCGGCCATGAAAGCCTTCGCGAATACACTCTCTGGCTGGTTCACAATTTAATTACGCAGGCTGCGCATGACCCCACCTACCCACCCAGGGACCTCAGAAGGCTGGCAGGCCGAGCGAGCCTTGAACCGGCTACCCAGGACTGAACCTGCGTCGAGAGCAGAGTCTGGGCTGCCGTACTGCAGTTTAACCCCGATGCCACACGGCTCATATTAACCAACCCTTTGCTTTATCTCAACAAGTGCCCTCCGTAAGTCTCAGACTACAATGCCCATCATCCCAGTGGCCAAGCAATCCAAGGACAATGGGTATGGCCTCCCAAGCCCTTTCTCCACACAGCAGCCCTTTGGCCCTGCTTGCGTGTGGGTGGGGGGCCTGGGTAGTTTTCACCTGAAGAGCTGTGACTCAGTGGCACAAGGGCCTCCGTGGCACACGTGGGCTCTGCTGCCACTGCTTCAGCCGGAGAAAGGAGACCGAGATTGCACAAGAGCCGCCAAAGTCATGTTCTACTCGCATGAGCGCACCCTGTGCTGAAGGGGGAGTGACGGCAGGGGGGGAAGGGTTGTGAAAGACGCTGGTGCTCGAAGGAAGAACAGGGGAAAGACTAACACAAGACCTTCCCCATCGGCCCCAAATTTTAGATCAAGCTTGAGAAAGGGTGTGAATATTTTAAGGCCAATGGTTGAGTGTTGGGCTTTGAGGAGGGTGGGGTGCGTGTGTTCCCTGGTTCCTCCCTCAGCCCCTTTTAAAAACCAGGCCCCCACGGTGGATATTCTGCAACTGGGTGAAGGAAGGGACGCCCAACATATTTTGATGCCCGGGGCACAGCCATAAATAGGACACTCCCACCTCTGAGGTGCAAAATGTGAAAGGCAAGCCGCGTTGTGTTGCAACCGAGGTGGAATCCGTTTCAACAAGCACCTGGCAGCGAAGATCCAGCTATAATTAATTTAATTAGCAATTCAACATTTTGTTAAAAGTAGAACTTGAAAAACTTAATTTGGAGGGGGAGGGATTTCAGCTCTCAGAATGGGCAATTTTAAAGCTCTGATTGTTCCACAACTGGCCGTCCAAGGCGGGTCCCTCTCGCTCTGCCCGACGGCTGGGCCGGACCCATAAGCTGATCCCAGTTTTAAGATCTTTCTCCGGCATGAAGCCCACACCAGCCTGCCTCAGCACTTCTTTTTAGTCATCGGCGTTTTGTGGCCATTCTCTTATCAGGCTGCTCTCTGTTCTTCTGACCCTGGAAGTGTGGCATTAAAGAGCTGGCCGTATGGATCTGAGAGCAGCCCAAAGCGCCCCCCCAAGAGGTCTTTGGTTAGAAGCCACCTGCCCTGCGCTGCTGCCGGGCTCTGTCTGCATGGGGTTCGGGTTGCCTCGCCTCTCTGACAGAACTCAAGCTCTTTAAAAAAGCACTTAAAAAGCACTTAGTCACCACCCGAGCAGAGGGGGAAGGCCTGCCGGTTCAAACAGGTTTACCTAAACCTTCTGCAGAAACATGAGTCTGAGGGAGTTCAGAACCTTCGTCTCCCATCCCTTTGCAGCGGCTTTTTTTGGAAGAAAAAACAACAACAAGGCTATAAAGCAGACGAGAACTAGAGTCAACGTCCGAGCTTGTAAAAGTCCCCTCCCATGGCCCGCGGGCTTTCCTTCCGCTCCATTCAGCCACCGGGACTTCAAAAGCAGGCGCCCGGCCTGCCAGAGGCCTAGGAACTGGGATTCCAAGGCAAACAAGGGGCACTCTGCCCATGCACAGATGTACCGCGTCCCTGCCGCCCTTGCTCCCCAGCTCAAGCATGGCCTCAGGCACTGGGGGGGGGGGAGTTGCTTTTCCAGCGGATCTGCTGGATGTGAATTATTTAAATAAAGCCCCCCAAGATGGAGAAAGAGCAAACTTTAAAAAATAAACACATGAAAAATCAAGACAGCGTGACAGAGGTACCAGGTTTCGCCTCAGAGGGAGGTAGAAGCCACTGCCTTGCTCTGATTTAGCACACCACCCAAGCAACAGTAACACAGGCACCACGAAAGATGACTGCCTCGTAATTATTTAATTTTATTTCTAATGGAAATTAAAAAATGCTACAGTAGTTCAAGTGCGGGAGACTTGGGATCAAATCCCCTCTTGGCCATGAAATGCTCCCAGGGGCAATCACACTCTGCACGCCAGACCCACCTACACGTATGTAAGAAATAAATACTGATAATGTTACTCAACCCCGATTCTGTTCAAAGACAGCCTAGCTTTGTTCTCTGCTGATATGCATCTTGTAGAGGAAGCGGGAAGAGCATGAGTAGCTCTTTGACTCATGGAGGGGAACTGGGGGGGTGGGGAGAGTTGCCCCTCCTCCCCACCTGATAGCGCTTAGCACAGGTTGGCGTGAATCACTGGAGACGCTTCCACCCTCCGACCCAAGAATGCCACACACCCCTGCTATCCGTTTCGCCCAGTCAACTGACACAGGCCTTAAAACACCCACGGCCCATTTGATCTGGACCCGACAAGCCACTCTGAGCAAGTGCAGGAAATTGTGACGCCGGCCAGCTTTCAAACCCCCGACAACACAAATTAGCAACAAGGAGGAAGGAAAGAAAAGGTGTTTTAATGACAGGCCTCTGCGGAGCCGGCCCAGTGACCAGGGTTAGAAGACAGGCTGGCCCTCTTTCTGGCCTGGCCTGCTCAGCTCCTCTCCGAGAACCTGTATCCCTTTCGTTCTCAAACTGTAGGATGCCAGCCCATCCTACCATTTTGCCGACCCCCTTCTGAGCAAGGCTAGGGATTCCAGAGGCCATCCAAAAGGTTTCCGGAGGAGAATGTGGGTGGGCACAGCTAGAGAGGGGCGCCAGATTCTAGACCCCAAAGGCTTCTTGCACGATACAGACGCACCTTGAAGAGGACTAGGGTCTTGACATGAAACTGGGAGACAACCTCACAAGTGAAACCCAGCAAGACTTTGCCCACTCCCCGGTCTGTCCGGCTGCGGCTGCTGGAGGGCAACCCACAAGGGGCAGCAGGACGTCTGTCAGTCAGTCAGTCAGTTAGTCAGTCAGGGGGGGCCTCCGAGGACCTCCTCCGCATTTTTGACCCGAGCATTCTTGAGTTCGTGGAGCCTGCGCAGCACCCGGTGCAAATCCCACTCACCGTGTTGGCGAGAGTCCCGGCTACGGATGTTCACCGTGCGGCTGGACATCTCCTTCCGTCCGACAACTGAGGAAGAAAATGGGGGGGGGAGGGAGAGAAATGTGACTCTGGACTCACTTGCCACAGACATGTGGGTTGTTTTTTGTTGATGTTGTTGTTTTGAAGTGCAACACCCAGTGCCAAACACCAGATGAACTTAATTGGCAACACACAACCCTCCTTGGACACGTGGCCCTAGAGAGAGACTTCTGACCGAGCTCAGAAGGTCGGGGGGGGGGGGGCAACTCCATTTTCGTATGTGGTTTTTCCCCTCTCTCCTTCCTGAAAGGTTGAAATGGCTCTCCCAAGACTAGTTGATTTACGGACCGTGAGCAGTTGAAGGGGAAAAGGGCCCGCAAGGTGGGCCCCGCCCCTTCTGCCTCCGGCTCCACCCACCCATGGGCGACAGCAGGCACTTTCCCTCTTTTCCGGCGGCTGGGCGCCCCCTTACCGAACTGGAAGTTGTACTGGGCCAGCTGGGCTTTCCTAATTTTGCGGCTGAGGGTCGTGCCTGGGTCGGCGTCCACGTCCGCCATGAAGCCCTCCTGCTGGAAGAGCTTCTGGACCTGAAAGGAGAAAAGCTCTCGCTGCAGATCTTGCCACGGGAACCAAACGGAGGGGTCTTCAGCCTGCAAGGCGGAAGGGTGGGGCAGGTGGGTGTCCTTGCCACCCTCACAGGTGCCGCCTTCTCTTACCTCCCGGGCGTAATCCACCACGTCCGGCCCAATGGGGATCACCATGATCTGGAACGGGGACAGCCAGAGAGGCCTGCATCGCAAACGTACAACAGGAGACCTCTGATGGGGTTCAACTTTGCCATCCCCTCCCACCGTCCCCATTTCTGGGAGCACCAAAAAAAAAAAAAAAAAGAGCTTCACAGCCTTCAAATCCCCAAGTTCCCAGCGCTTTCTTTTTTTATGGCACTCCCCAAGAAGCCCCCGCAGAATCTCATAAGAAGCCCAAAGCCCCCAAAGTCTTGCCAACTGAACCTCCACACCCAGAACTGAAAATAAGACTGAAAAATAAGGGGGAATAAAAGAGTTGGTTGGTTTGCTACTCCAAATATTGTCACACCGGCCTGCTTTTTATTCCTGAAATAAATTTTGCCAGGGGTGGGAAACAGTTTTTGTAAAATAATAATAATAATAATAATTACCATTTATGAAATATTTCAATAAAAATATTGCCAGTTTCAAGGCAGCCTTTAATTCTGGAACCCAGCTACAATTCTTAAAAAAAAAAAAAAAATTAACATCACTGACGCTATAAGCAGTTTGGAGAAACAGTGGTGGGTTTTGGAAAGCCGTGGTCTTAAGGGATAAGGCCGGTATTCCAATTGCCACCAAACAGAGAACCAAGCTCACAGCTAGGAAAAGGTTGTCTGACCAGAATACCTCCCCCCCCCAAAAAAAAACCCCTAGCGCCAAGCTGGCTGGGAGATTCTGGGAGTAGTCGTCCAAAAAACAGGAGCCAGATATGGAGAGCCAGGGCAGGATGAGTGGGGAAGGAAGTGTGTATGATGTATGATGATAAGCATACCATACCACTTCCAAAACAAAGTGAGCAAATGAAAAATGATTATTCGGTAGGTGGGGGCCGGAAACATCTTAAAACCATGGCGGGCCCCCTCCCTGCAGTCAGAACGGTTACAGGCCCCGTTACCACCTCATTCGGCCATCATGTGCCAACCTTTGCGGCCCGCAGAGACTCACCACTTCCCGCCATAGTTCTCCGCTAGGACTGCCAACATTCGCTCGACAGAGCCCAGCACTGCCCGGTGGATCATGACGGGTCTTTCTGGCTCTCCGCCATCTTTTCTGCACAAGAAAAAGGAGAGAAACACCGAGGATCAGCACCCAGACCCCAAAGGGGCAGATGTGGTCCTGCAACTTTTTTGGAACAGGTTCAAAGTGTCAGACGTGGAAGGCCTCCGTGAACTCAGGATCGCTCCTCTTTCTCGGCATCCCTCGTCCCTATCATCTCTTGGTCAGGAGGGGTCTCTCCCCTCCCTGCAATGCTCACGGCAACCTCCAGATTTATTCTCCCGCTTCGCTGATGCAAAGGCTCCCACGTTACCCCGTGCCTCTCTGCTCTAAGCGCCAAATCAGGAGTGACGATATAAAAGATCCTGGTTAAATCCTTCCTTCTCGGCAAATAAATCTGTCTTGACTCAAAAAAGATGCCTTGATGAGGAATTATCGCCAGAACCTTTTTCTCCCAGGAAGAAACAAGGAACATTTTCCCCTAGTCACCAAGGTCTCTGTAATTTGGACAAATCATCTCTGGAGACACCCATCCAACTTGTTTAAAATGATTATTGCTTTTTCTTTTTTTCTTCTTTTTTTCTTGTTACAAACCACATCCTACTACTTCTAAATCTCTGTGCCACATTTCTTTGGGTCATATTTAGCCTCGTGACTTGTTCTGTAAAATGTGAAGCTCTCACACTTTTTACAGTACTTAGCTGGTCCTAAATCAAAATCATATACATAAATGTATTTCCCATATCTGTCATTGTCCCTGGACGATATGGCTGCATTCGATCCAACCTAGAGTTTCCCACACACTCTGAAATGGCTATCTTTGCTACCACCAGGACTGAGAAACCGACTGCCAGATGCTGCTGCTGCTGACCCCAGATGGCGGCTGCCGGTCAGAGCCGACAATAGCAGGCTATAGAAAAAAGCAACCTGAACTCAGTTTGATTCAGCTTTGGTGGGTAAACCCCCTCTAGCATCTCATTTGATGGGGAAAAGAGAAGGGAAGCGCATTTCAGATTATGCATCCAGAGAGCAACCTCACATCTAGACATTTCATGGAGGGAACGCCACCAAACTCCTCTGCAAACCTGGCCCCCTCGCTTTTGGGAACAGGTGAGATGGGGGGGCAGAAGCAGGACGTTTGGGAAAGGCAGTCATTGCTGATTTGGGATGTTTCAGATAAGATTTCAGCTCAAGCCAAGCAGGCGCCATAGAAATCTCTTTGGCAAACAAAGCCTTTCTTCCTTCCTCCCCCCCCCACCCGCCCCCAGGTTCCTCTTTCTTTCTCCTGTGGCCAGAGGGGGCAGAAGGACCTTTCTTATGCAAGGCGGGCAAGAGGCAAAGAAGGAAGAGGAGACAGAAAGGGACAGGGAGGGAGGGAGAGGGAGGGAGGAAGAAAGGGGAACTTTTGGGTCACAAAGTTGACAGCTCAATGTCTCTGACGGAATTGTCTCCGCGCTTTTGCGATGGCACACACGTCTGACACTTCTTGCACAGTGGTCTGTTTTGGCAACGAGCCAAATCGGGAGTCAGGGGGCCAACGACAGACCAGGGAATCCTTCTCTGCATCACCAGAAACAAGGAAGGAAAACAGGCCCCCACCGCCCAGAATAACGTGGCACATCTCTTTTGTTTACATGCATGGGTGCAATGCCAAAAGTGACTTTCATGACAGAAACATTAGCTGCGGAGTAACAGCATGACTAACCAGTTGAGCTTTTGCAAATGATGCTTTAATTTAAGAAGCGAAGTAACAATCCAATTAATGAGGTAATTGTGTCTGATTGTTTCCCCCTCCACTCTGGATCTATGTATTTATTTTAAGTGCTTTACTTGCATCCGGACGTTGGACTCCCACAGAGCCCTCCTACCTGGGCCACCCAGTCCAAGAGCGTCTTCCTACTGGCAAGAGAACTCACCCGGTGTACGAGAGGTCAAACCGGATGGGCATCTGGAAATCCAGCTGGATGGTGGCGCACTGGTGGTAACGGCCCAGAGCATCTTTAATCTGTATATCAACCTGGAAGACGGAGGGAATCTTCTGGAAAACCCATTTTTCTGGCTGATGTCTGCTTCGCAGCCACAGACTGCCTGGTGGCTTTCCTTCAAGCGTGGCCATGGCAGAACCATATTCTCCAAGCAAAGCTTCCTCCTCCTCTGCTGCCTCTCGAGGCGAGAGAAAGCTCTCACCTGTTGAATTTTTGCCTGCCATGCAGGAACCAGTGTTGTCACTGGCTGTAGCCTTGCAGGAACCAAAGGAGGCAGGAAGAGCCAAAAGATGGAACTCGGTTTCCTTTTTCAGTTTCCCATTTCCTGTATTCTCCTGTTTTTATTTCCATGTTGGTTACCATAAATTTGCTTCTTTGCACAAGGGCCTCAATCAAGATCAAGGCTCTGAATGCCTCCACTAGGGGTGCTCAAACTGCACAGCCCAGCTGGGAATCCAGCACTATGTCCAATTATCACATGTAGACATAATGTGGTCTAGACCCTTTTAAAATTTTTAAATGAGGTACTCTCCTCCATTCATAAGGCAGCTTGTCATGCAACATCCCCTAAATGCCACAGACTTTAATGGCACCCAATTCCTGCCCTGCCCCGGGAGCATTCTTATTAAATGAGGCACACTCTCAGGCTACAGCAGAACAATTTGGGTAACCTTCCAATTTTCATACCTGGCTGAACCTGATCATCCCGCCGAGAGCCATCAATGGCTTTCCTGAAAAGCAGGGACTGTACAGCTGTTGCCCTTATAAACCATCGTGATCGCTGGGATGAAACAGTGGGGAGTGCAAAGCCAGGAACAAAAGCCACCCTGTCACAAGGGAAGCCAAACTTCAACAGAAGTAAAGCTGTCACCCAGGAGAGCGAGAAATGTTACTTTGCTCACTCCTGCATTCAAAGCTCCCTTCCAACCCAGGGGATCCTGGCTAAGGGCGACTCCTCAGTCCTGCACTCAACTCTTGGGGATGGTTCTCTTTGGGAAAGAAAACGACCCGCAATTCAAAGCAGGGGCCGCGTCCCCGTACCTTTGGACCGTAGAAGGCTCCGTCTCCCGGGTTGAGCTCCCATGGCCGCCCAAAGTCCTGGAGGCTCTTTTCCAGGAGCTGAAAGACAAGAAAACGTGGGAGGCGGTGAGCCCAGCAAGTCCCCTTGCCCTCCGGCAGACCCCCAAGGTGGGCGCTGCAGTGAGGGGGGGTGGACAAGGTGCCGATCATTCCTCAAGACTTGGTGGAGAAGCGGAAAGCACCTCAGGGAGTTTGCTCAGAAAACAGATGCAGAAGAGTTCCTTTCTTTAAACGAACAAATAAACTCTGTAGGCAACAGACAAAGCCGATGCCCTCCTTTGCTTGTGGGGTGCTGGCAGGGGAGACCGCACACTTCTGGGTGGAAGCAAAGCAAGGTTTATAACTGGGGGAAGGAGGGAGAATAACTTTGTGACTACTTGCTTGTAATATTTACATTGCACCCAAGGGGGAGGCTTCAAAAAGCACACAAACAAAAGCAAAGGACATGGTTACAAATGTTACAGGAAACACAAGCAAACCCATTGATACAGGATCAAAATGTTACAATATTAACAAGTTAGGATACTGACAATTATATCTGATTAATCTGGCATTTCCTGTTTTGGACTGGAACTCCCCAAACAGCCTTCCTTCTTTCTCCTTCATCCAACTTAGCTGGAATTGGCCTTTGGTAACAGCTATAGCTCCTCAACCATCTCTCAGGGGTGGCCCCTCACACAGAGTGCTGCGGTAGTCAAGTCTGAGCTGGCGCTCCAGTGGAGGAGCTGGGAGCAAGGGACGCACCAGCCTTGGAAGAACAGCTAATTTAAAGGATAAGCCATCGAGATTCGTTTTGCTGGACTTCACTCTGATTCATGAAAACGTGCCCCCACCTTTACATTTCAAGGCAACTGTGACAGGAAGGTTTGGGGTGGGGGGGGAGAGTGGGTCAGGGAAAAAGTCTGGCCGAGGTGGAAAGTGTGTCTAGACTTACCTGCTCTGCACGGTCCCAAAGATGAAGCTCCCCAAGGAATTTTTTGGGTCGCGTGGAGAGGTAGAACTGGAAGGTGAAACCAAAAACGGAGTAGACACTTTGGAGGAAATCTAGACAGCTTTCAATCTCTCCTTCCAGCTGAGTTGAGAGAAAAGGGAGGAAAAGCACGTGTTGGGGTAAAGACAGAAAAGATGTGGATCTGAGGAACCTGTCCTCCTCCCCTCCCCCATTTAGAAAACACTCCAGTTTTCCCTCTTAAAGCCTCTGAAAGCTGCTCTCCGGAGCTGGTGTTCCAAAAACACAAGGAAACGGGGGGGGGGGACACCCCTCACCTGGTCGATGCTGCAGAAGATGTGGGCATCATCCTGCTGGAAGCGGCAAACCCGCGTTAATCCCGACAGGGCTCCCGAAGGCTCCTTGCGATGGAGGACCCCGAAGTCGGCCAAGCGGAGGGGCAGTTCCCTCCAGGATCGGGGCCGGTGGCTGAACATGAGACTGTACGAGAAGGAAAGAGAGGAGAGGCCACGTTTTCATGGGACCCCAGCCAAAAAAGGGGGGCGGGGTGAAATCAGACCCTGTGGGAGGGGGGCGCGGGCCACTCACCAGTGGGCAGGGCAGTTCATCGGTTTGAGGGCAAAAGTCTCATTTTCAACCCGGAAGGAGAACATGTTCTCTTCGTAATGCTCCCAGTGACCAGACATCTCCCAGAGCTTTGAGTTGAAAATGTTGGGGGTGATAACCTCGGAAAAGCCACGCTTCCGATATTCACTCTGGAGCAGAGGAGAAGGGGGGGAAGAGAGGTTTTTGTGAACTGGGGTGAAGCCAAACAGAGCGGGGGGGAGGGGGGAGAGAAGACGCTGCAGAGGATGGAGGAGTTCCCCCATTGTGGAAAAAAAGACCCATTCCCCCCCGCCTCACTCCCCCCACCACAACGCAGAATTCATGTACCGTTCGGGGGGGGGGTACCTTAATGAAGTCCGTGAGGGTGGCGTAGATGTGGGCTCCTCTGGGGAGGAAGAAGCAGCTTCCAGGGCTCAGTTCGTGGAAGAAGAACAGTTCCTGCAAGGTCCCGATCCGGCGATGGTCCCGCTGGGCAGCCTCCTCTTGAGCCTGCTCCCATTCTGCCAGGCGCTCGGCGCTGGGGAAGGAGATGCCGTAGACGCGCTGCAGGGGCTCCTGAGCAGGGTCTCCATTCCAGAAGGCGGAGGAATTCTGCCGAGGCAAAGAGAGCAAGGGGGCCGGAACCTGAGCCTCAAGGCGATGCGTCCAAAAAAAGAAGAAGCAGACGTTCAAAAGCCTGCTAGGGGCAACCTCGGAGACCAGGCTCCACCGTTTGCAGCTGCGGGGAAGACGCCGACAGGGCTAACGGCCTACCCGCTCTTTAAGCCCGATTGCTCTTTTCTGACATCTTGTGGCAAGGAGTTCCAAAGTTTACCATGAACCACAGAGTTCATGCGCTAGAGAAACGTTCCTGTATTTCTTTTTCTGGTTTTATGAGCCACGTGGCACCTAGGAGCGAGGCTGCTGCCCTGTCCACCTTTCTTAACAAAGTACTGTTCCCATCCCAGTAAACGTGCCTCCAAGCCACGTATTTCATTTAAGCAGGGATTTGTGTCAAGTCTAGAATTAATCAGCCACTTGTTTTTCATGTGTGTCTGTTTCAAAAGTCAATCCAATTTGCAACCTGATTCATCGCCGACTCTGCTACCCTGGGTATTGTGGGATAGTTATTTTTGATGTCAATCAAATTAATATCAAAAGATTAATAGTGCACAAGGAGAGTCCTCAAAACACTGGCCAGGACTAAAAGGGGCAAAACAGAGTGCTAGGAAATCAACGAGGACGGATAACGGAACAGCTTTAGCCCCGCATAAACATCTCTGAGGCACAGAAGCCTCCCTTTGAGGCAGACACTCCAACGGCCACCCACCTTTATCAGCTTCAGGGCTCCGATTTCTCCCGTATGCCTGAGATGAGGCCCCCGGCAGAGGTCGACCAGCGTCCCACACCTGCGGAGAGAGAAGAGCAAGAGAACAGACATGGGTCACCACGACTCGGAGAGGGGCCATTTTTAGACAACAAGGCCGCCTAATTCACTGGGTCACTTGGAATCAATCTTTCCATCTCTCTCTCTCTCTCTCTCTCTGAGAACATGATCTACCTCACAGGGCTGTCGTGATCACCAAATGGGTGCAAGACAAGTGTGAAAAGTCTGGCTGTCAAGGACGGCTTGGAGGTTCATTCTCTGGAGCCCCGTGTTTGCGTTCCTGTCGAACAGCAGCCAGTCCAGCCTCACATCTTGTGTATCGTTATTTTCACGCTAAGCTTCCGCCTTCGCTAGATTAAGTTAGTTTACTGGAATCACCTCCAGTCTTCCGTGATTTTATTATTTCATTACATATCCAGGTGCAACGGCCGCTTGTACCCGCTTCTATCATCTCGCTCAAGTTACTGCCGCCGTCTGATGCGTTGCAAGCGACTTTGGGCACACTTATGTGGACAAGTGCCACAGAAATACATCTGTGTGGATGATGACAAAAGCAGGTTCTTCCTCTTTGGCTCGGTCTGTTGCAGGTCAAGCCAGGAGAGTCAGGCTCCAAGAGTTTCTCTCACCTGTACACAGTGGCAGTGAGAGACTTCACCTTCTCCTCAATAATTCTTAGCTTGAACTTGTTGTGCTGAAAGGAGGCAAAGAGAGGCATCAAAGAGGACTCAAGGCAGACCCCAGCAAAATTGATCTCAGGTACGGATAAAAACACCCAATAAAATGAAAGCATTGCTGAATTAAAAGACAACTAAAAGGCAGTTAACGACACATAAGTACTACTTTATATTAGTCTGCCTTGGGTGATTTGGTTACATTTCCTTTTAACCATCTTTGACCGGCTTGTGCTCGATCAATATCACTTAATGATGTTGCTCATGTAGCTAAACATCATCAACATCATCATCATCATCATCATCATCATCATGGTTTTCACCAACTGGGCTGTAAGTGGCTCAGTAAATAACCCTACGAAGCAGGATGAAAAAAAAATCTGTGAAATGAATAAATGAAATATTTGAGGTGGACTGCCTCTGCACATGGATGCTCCATTTGGCTGTCATGTGTCACAGCCACCAATAAAGTGTTCTCCCTCCTCCTTCCTGTTTCATACTTTTTCCCCAGCTATCTAGGAGTGACCACATCCTCAGCCTAGCAAAGGCTATATAATTAATTAGAGTCCATGGGACCCATTTAAGAAAAACCAGGTGAGCCAGTAAAACAAAACAGGACGGGAGGAAAAAAAACATCCGAAAGACTGGTGCTAGGAAATTCCAGGGGAATGATTGTAGGAAGCAGCCACAGAGGGCCAAAATAACTGCTGGGAAAAGCTTGGAGTTAAACCAGGCTGGCCTTTTTGGCCCGTTCCTTTTTAACTTTGGCCACCTTTCCTGCCCAAGAGACGGCGGCCCTGGAACATGACCTACCTCACAGGGTTGTGAGCCCAAGGCAAGGCCCTAATTGTTCTGAAAACGGCAACTCTTGTACAGCTGTGGTTTCAAACCCTCATGGTTGGCTTCCGTGCCGAGTTTGAAGCCCAGCTGCACTGCCGAGAAAGGAAAAACCTGACACTTTTCTACCAGAGAGCTGGAGGTTTGTCTCCCTTCCGCAGATTGACAAATCATCGTACTGCGTAAATGTGCTAGAAAAGGTTCTAAGCTTTCAAACCAAGTTGTGTGTGACAGTAATAAGGTTTAAAGGCAGGCATCCCCAGGCGGAGGAGGGGACTCCAACTGGGGATAATGGGTCTCGCAGGCCAAAAGTTCCAGCTGATGCCAAGCCAGGGGAAAAACAGGTTTGAGGTTTCGCACCTTAAAGAGTTCTATCAAATCCTTCCGGGACACTTCTAATCTCTCAAAGGGAAGCTTCTCTTCAATCATCGCCCAGCAGATCTCTTCCAAAGCAGGCAGGTCTTTGCTGGACACGGTCCTGAGACGGGAAGCGAAAAAACCTCTTTGTAAAACATGGAGAGGTGGCGGCGGGAGAGAGGGGAGAATGACATGAAGCCATTCAGGGCAGCCCGAAAGGAAGAGAGAGAAAGCATGCCCCTTGGCACATCCCGTTCCCACCAGCAACACAACCGAGCAGGGTCATCCAGCACAGGGACCGGTCCCAATTTCACTCACACCAAACCTTCGGCAGGATAAAAGGGAAGCAGCAACACAACCGAGCAGGGTCATCCAGCGCAGGGACCGGTCCCAATTTCACTCACACTTCGGCAGGATAAAAGGGAAAACCGCAACCAAATGTTGCAGTAGAAGGTGCTTCCTGGCCCATCACTGCCAGCTGTTCTCTTTCGGAGTTTTCCTTTTCCCCACCACACAGAGTCCCCTCCATCCTCTCTAGAGTGTTTTGAGGCCGACTGTCTCGCTGGGGGTGGGCAGATTTCAACGTGTGGGGTTTGTTTTTGTTTTTTGTAAGCCTGCCATGTTCTGCCTCCCCTTCCATGTACAAAAAGAATGGTATAGGGAGCAGGAAGACTGTTGTTGGTACATAGAAGGAACTTGTTTACTGTCTCCTGTGAAAATAATTTCTGATCTACCTCCTCCAGGCAACAGGAAAGGGCACCAGCTTGTTGCTGAAGCAAGGAGGACACCTAGTGGGTGGGTAGGAGATCACACCCAATCCTGACGCCCTACAGCTCAACCCTTTCCTGGATACAGGGAAGAGCAGGCTTATAGGACTGCGACAAAGTCCAGTCAGTTCTCCCATACTACGTCTCTTATCCCAAAAAAAGGGAGGGTGAGAGGATGAGTTCTAATTAGAAAACTCCAGTCAGTTCTCCCATACTACGTCTCTTCTCCCAAAAAAAGGGAGGGTGAGTTCTAATTAGAAAAGGTAGTCATACAGAAACAGTGACATTTGCAGGACAGTCTTTATGTCTGGAACAGCAAACCATCAAGCAGCTGCTCCCATTTTCCTGGCTGCGGCCCCCACTTACCTTTGCTCATCCAGATACATATCATAAAAGAAGCCATTTTCGGTGCTTGGACCGTGACACAGGCAAGCGGTTTGATAGAAATGTTCAGCAGCTGCCCCGAGAACATGGGCGCTTGAGTGCCAAAACAGCTGGGAAGAGATGTGTTGAGAGGGAAGTGAGGAAGACAGGCGCTCCAGGGCAACTTCGCAAGAGCATCACCCACACACAACACTTTGGAGACACCCCTTGAACAAGGAGCAGCACAAAACAAGAGAAGGGGGCTGAGAGAGACCAAAATTACTTCCAAAAAGACAGACTGACTCCCACCCTTGGCACAAGTGGCAGTGACTTAGTGGGGTCATTTAACGAGATCCGAAGTGAACCAAAGGACATGAAGAACCAGACAGGAGTGGCTGAGCACCCAACCTGTGAACCACTCCTCTCTTAATACAGAAGCAAGGCTACGTATATTCCACCTTTCGACTCATCTGTAAGCAGAAACATCAAGAAACCCTCCAAAGTAATAACAAGAATACAGCTAGGAATTGATATACTTTTATCTGCAACAGGATTAGATGAGAAAGCAGTTTGTATTTTTAAAAGACCAATGCAATTTCATGTGACAATGAGTCCCACAGATTGATCGTGGATGGGAAACATGATGGCCCCTTCCAGCATCCCCAGAGATCGTATCAAGGATTGTTTATGTATTTTATTGTTTCTATATCTCTATCCCGACTTTCTTCCAGTGAGCTCAAGGTAACTTTTAAGACGCTTCTCCACTCTCTCTCTTTTTTTATCCTCACACCAACAGCCCTCCTGAGGCAGGTTAGGCTGACTGGCAATGAGCAACCTCACCTCATCCAGTAAGTTTCACAGCCAAGTGGAGATTTGAACCCAGGTCTTCGAAGCCTTAATCCAACACTGTGTTCCGCCTACTTCACCAGCTCTTTTAAGTGCCTTTCATGTTCCTGCGTCTTAATAAAGCCTTTCCCTCCCCACGCATCCAAGTGAACAGGGGTACTTACGGCTTGCCCATCCTGAGAATCAAAATCAAGGAGTTCCAGGCTGGCATCCCCCTCCAGCGGGCGGTCCAGGTCGTGAAGGGTCCCATTCACTCTCGCTATCACTGCGCTTTTGGCCAGACTCCGGCTAGAAGAGGGGAAGAGAGGTAGCATGGGCAGGACTAGCAACCGTTTCATGAACACAAGAAATCTGTGCCACCACACAAAGAACCCATGACTTCCAGTCTTGGCTACTGCACGGAACTACGGTATCTCTGTCATCAACAGAAGTGGGTTGAGACTCTGTTGCGGTTATGGTATCAAGTTGTTTCTGACCTATGTCCTGTCCTCAACAGTCCTGCTCAGCTCCTGCAGACTCAAGCTCGTGGCTTCCTTGAGGGAGTCCTCCCGTCTCATATTTGGCCTTCCTCTTTTCCTGTTGCCTACCACCTTCTCAGCATTATTATCTTGCCTTCTCATGATGTGCCCAAAGTAGGACCAGTAAGATTTGAAACAAAAGTCCAAACTGCCCACCTCCCAAAAAGGTATTTTAAACTTGCCTAGAAGACAGGATCTCTAAACATCACAACTGCATGTTTCTACCTCATTTGTAACTGGTGCCTCTGCTCAAACCACTAACCATGTTTGGAAGGGAATATTCTGGAAAATGAACATTGGGAAGCCACCTGATTTGCAAGGCCACCTGAAATGGTGTTGTCGTCCAGGCCTCTCCTTCTACTTCTTTGCCATCCTGCAGGGAAACTCGGATGGGGCGTCTCTCTCGGTGGGCTAGCTCTGCACGACGTTCCTCAGTGGCGGATTTCAGCCGCTCGTAGAATGCTAGGCGTTCAGCAATGTGGGAGGGGAGGGCTCCTGTCTAAAACACAAAACAGGGTTTAAAAAATTAAATGATGGCAAGGAGGAAGAAAGACCACAAGGGCTTGGAGGAAATGTTTTCCAAAAACGTGGGAGCTGATGCATGTTTTGGGGATTTAAAGTCGGAGAAAGTATGTCAACTTCATATTGATGTAATTTCCCATTAAGCATGTAACCAAGTATCAGCTGAGTCCCAGAATAAAATAACACACATACCACCATCTGATCTGTTGATCTTAATAATAGAATTTCAATTTCACCTAAACTGGCTTCAGCACAAATCCGTTTTCTCAGCATATCTCTCGGCTGAAAGGGAACACTCACCCACAATACCACCTCAGCAAAGACACCTGAACAAGCAATTTTAAAGTCTTGGTTGCACCCAGTGTTGGATGGAGGCGAGACCCTATATCCTCTCTGTGGAGGTCCCTCAGTGAAGGCAAGACAAAGACATGGAAAAATATAGAACAGGCATGCATTTGGCCAATGAGCACACTCTGTTTTTAGTGAAACGTAGCGTGATGCAGTTCTTAAGAATGCTGGATTAGACTTGGAAGTTTTGGGCTGTGAAAAACCAGGTGGTCCTGGGCCAATACCTCACAGGGCTGTTGTGAGGAGAAAGGGAGCCACAAACATACACTGCCTTGAGCACACTGGAAGACAAGTATAACTTGAAGTTCAGCTCACAAAAATAAACATTACATGCTTTTATTGTCACAAGACGTTAGTATACCCCATATTTGAGAATTAGAGGTGTTGCAGAAAGCCTGCAGGTGTCCATGAGGAAAAAAAATGAGTTATTAACAATTACAAGTCAAAAGATCGCTTTTGAAATATTCATATTAAATATTTCCTTTCTTTTAATGGTGCATTGCTTTGGGAGACGCTTGTGGGCATAGAACCAAACCAACCAATACTTCTGATAAACAAATGAAGCTCAAATCAATCAATCAAATCCTAAGTAGTGAGGTAAGATCACATCAAGCGGGAACCAGGTTGAAATCTCCACCAGGCCGTGAAGCAAGGGCAAGGCACTGGGCAAGGCTGGACCAAAACACAGGCCCTCTCACGCAGGCCGATTCTGCAAGGGGCTGTGGGAAGGACGAAGTGGGAAGAAGGAAGAAAGCCTTCAAACTCACTGGAGGAGGAACGACAGGATGGAAATGTAACTGAAAAGTAACGAGCAAGCAGAAAACAGTATTCTGAAATAAAAAGGGAGGGATAGAAGTGGACCTTCATCAGAGCTGGGATAAAGTAACTTTTTTGTGGGGAAGGGGAGCGCCGACCCCCCCCAATCTTCCCCCACTACACAGAGTAGTGACCCCCCCCAAAAAAAACCGTTTCCCCACCTCTCGTTTGCACACCCGGAAGATAAAAAGGGGAGGGAAACACACGGACCCTGTAAGACCTGCAGCCGCGGCTCTTCCCAGCCCAGACCTTCATCCAAGGCCAGAGGATCCGCATCTTCCCGAGCAAACACGTGTCAAAGGCCCTTGGTTCCCACGTGACAGCCGCCTCCGCAGACGCGCATCCTCCCTCCGCGCAAACCTACACTAGGAAAAGGGGGGGGCCGCCTGGGCGGGGCCCGCACCGCCGCTAGGAGGAAGAGGCTGCCGATTGGCCACTCCCTTAGCCAATGGGCTTGCACTCCAACCCAGCAGGGGTCCTCCCCTTCTCTCCCTCCCTCCTGCAACAAAAACCCGGGAGGTGAAGTTCCGGGCCCGGTTGAGCACAGCTGGAACTTCCTTCTCCTTCCCCAACGTGGCAAGAAGGGGAAAAGCACATCGCCAAGTTCATTATCTTTAATAACCTCTAATTCTCCCTCCCGAAGCTTAAGTGCAAGATGGAGAAAAATCGCCCTTATTAATGCTTTCAGGGTTCTTATTTCTAAACAAACCCGAGCTCCCTCTTGCAAAGCTGGGCGATTATTGCGTGCAAGACGGAAAACAGGCCAAGTCGGGGGCTTTGCATGCAGTCACAGGAGGATGCCAACGGAGCAGAAGGCAGAGCCGCTCTCCGGTCTCCAAACCAACTCCCGGGTCTCCAATGGAGAATTCGGGAAAGCTTTCCCGCAGCAGGATCACAAAGCAAAAGGAGCACAGCCTCGTTCAAAAAGAAGAGCAAAACACCGGTTAAACATACGGGGAAGGAGCCCTCTTTCTAAGTGGCGTATGAGGTTGAGCTCCAACAGGTGAAGCTTCTTCAAACACTGCCTCCCTGCGCTAAGGGCAGCTGGACATTTTGAATTCCCGCCTCTTAACTCACTCTTCAAATAAGCCCCACGAGACCGCCCCAGGGAAATAAAACGATCTGTTCCCTCCTCCTCCTCTTCTTGCCCCCTATTAAGATCCTACACAATAGACCTCCAAAACGCGCGCTAGACAACGAAAGCAAGCCAGGTTTACTCTGCAGCGAACCCACTCTTAGAAAATGCAGGCAGCCTGAAGGGATCTGCCGGCAACCCGCAACGTGCACGCAGTAATTACAGCATATAGTAATGAGATTCTCCACATGCCCCGAATAAGTCATTAAAACTGAGAGGGCCCATTGCAAATACCTTACTTCGGAAATTCATCACTCTCCCCCTTAGTCCCGTGTCGATTTAAACACCAACCTATGTAGACCACTGTACGAGAATCTCTCTCGTTAAGGCTTGAGGGTAGCTAATCGAGCTATTCTCCTCTCTCTGTTCCCATTTCTTATTTTGTACTCTGTAACTTCAAACCAGAATATTTACTGCTTTGGCTCCTGCAACCTCCCAGCACCAAAAACAGTCTGTCCTTCTCCAAGTCTTTTTGGATCGATCAGGTCCTGTTTCAAATTCTGCTCCTGCTGTACTTGTGCTCTCCATTATACGATATACGTTGTATATAACGTACGTTATTTACTTCATGTGCAAGTAACATTTGTTTGGGGGTTTTGTCATGAATTTTTAAATGGGTACTGTTAATACAATTATCCGAATCAAAGCAAAATATGAAGTTTTCTTGCACCTTTAGGACTATTACATTTCAGGGTGAGCTTTAATTAACTATGATTTGCTATAGACGAATAGTTCTTGGAATTACATTTCAATTCAAATAACTATTAGTTTTAAAGATGGTTAATTTGGGGTTAATCAGGTTTATTAAGTTTAATGCTTTAACAATAGAATAACCAATTTAGTAAATTTGCAAAATCTTTTAAGATGACTGAGGTTGTGGTGGTGGTGGGGAATGTTTCCTTTTTGCTGTTATCCATGCGAAACAGGCTAGCAGAGCAACCTCTGTGAAAACACCTCAAATTCCAAGGCCTATAAATATCTGGATATCTTAGTGTACCAGGTCCAGCCACAGCCAACAGTCCCATTTTTCTGAGGGTGAGGCAACCATTTATGGATTCTATTCCAAAGTTGCATTTTATGGTGAACCTTCCTAAGACTGACTTTTGTTATTCACTTTGACACAGCTTTATTTTGAGAATACTGTACAATTATTTTGAAAATAAGTTCCGCTATACTGTTATTTTCAAAGGCGGTGACTTCCGACACCCTTGAGAGTTCATGCAGCTCCCTTAAGTCGCTGCTACAAAACATGATAGGCTGACTAAGAACTGCAGGGAAGGGCAGAACATGTCTGTATGAAAAAGCAGTAGTCGAACGGCTCAGTCTGTAAAACTGAAGTTGCTGCTGCCTTGATCAAAGAATCTGATGCAACTGCTGGGAAAAGTGTGCAAACATACATTCACAAAAGGGCTGCAAAAGCAGCTCAGATGCATGAATGTGGGACAGCCCGGTCTGCAAAAAGGCCTTAGAAAGACTTGATTCAGCCATGAAGAGCCAGGCTGAGAACAGCCACTCGGAGCCTAGCTACCCTGTTTCCCCCCCAAAAAAGACAGGGCCTTATATTACTTTTTTGCTCCAAAAAACGCATTAGGGCTTATTTTCAAGGGATGTTTTATTTTTTCCCCCTTTACAACAATCTACCATTTATTCATGTCATCTTCTGGTTGCTGCACAAAGGTAGGGGCGTGGTTTCACTTAACTGGGGCTTATTTTTGGGGTAGGGCTTATATTACTAGCATCCTGAACAATCCTAGTAGGGCTTATTTTCAGGTTAGGTCTTATTTTCAGGGAAACGGTAGGTGAAGAATGCCGGCATCATACAATTTTAGGGATCAACTCCGTTGTATTCCAACTCACATGGAAAAACACCTCTCCCTGTTAACTCTCTCTCTCACACACACACAACATCACATACAATGCAGGCGCTAGATCTACCATCCCCCCCCCTTTCCCTGGATGCCCCACTGCCTGCCTATCAGGGCCACAGGCCCTCTGCTGCTCTTTCACGCAGTCCTTTGTGGCCAAAGACCTTCACTTCATGCCTGGACCCTTTCTACCTCCCCAACGGAGAGACAGTACAATTCCAGAAAACGGTGAGCAAAAATCTTGTCAGGTGAGGACAGCTCAACAATGGCCTCACGCTTGTGTGTATGGCAGGAAGCAGTTAAGCCAGACACAGTCTGAGGTTGCCACACAGTACAAAATCTCCCACAAAGCATCTGAGCAACGCCAGCAGCACAACTACATGTCCCTGCCGGCTGTTCCAGCACTAGCCCCCTGGTGCAACGGTTTTAAAAACTGGGGTCCCCCCTTGTCAAGGGACTCTGAATGCTCACAAGTCCCTGGCCCGACAGCCGTACGTTTGAGGCAGAGTCTGGAAAAGGCAACCCAACCCAGGTTAGAGAACAAGTCTGTGAACCATCCCATCCATCCAGTCCATTCTCATGTTTCATATGCCCAGGAATCAACAGAACCGCTTTCCTTTCGGTTGTAAAACACACACAGAGTGAACTGAAATGGACGTCAAGTCAGACTGCAGGAGAAAAGGCATTCTCAAGAATTTGTTCTGGGTGACACAGCAACATGTTTTTGCTCACTGGGTTATTAGATTCAAATAGAGTAGCCATCCTGCTCTGGAGCCCTTGAATATTTCAAATATTCAGTACTGTACATACATTATCTTACAACACCTATGTATCAGCAGAGAATCATCAAGTAACTGGCCTCAGTCAGATATGGGCTGAAGACCCACAAAGGTATACAAGTTCCAAAGTTACGGCTCCCAGACTTGCACAAGTTTGTGACATAAATCAACACTCATTCATTCACTCAGTGTTGAATCCCTTTTAAGGGGGAAAGGTGGGAAATGCTCTTTTCCTCTTTATTAACACCTCCCTTCCTATGAAGGAACCTATTAAAAAAAGCACAGGCAAAAAAAATACGGAGTGCCTCAAATGAAGCAAAAGATGCTTGGTGTCTACTGGGAAAACATACATCCAAATCAGAGCTAGACTTAAGAGAGCTTTTAAAATGCCTTTGCAAACAAAGTAAACATGGATTACAGGCTTCTTCCACACAAAACCTTTTTTTAAATACCCATTTTTCTATTTCTGAGGTCTGACTATGTTTTAGAAAGCCATAATGTTAACATCAAAATGGAAAAGGTGAAAGAGGGAAATAGAAGCTAAGAAGCAGCTCGCACCCCCATTACATAGACAGAGATCTGACATCCATTGTGAACCCCTGTTTTAGAATTCTCACATACAGTGAGCAGGGGATGGCTGTAATCCCATTTTTCATAAAAGCAAAGTAAAACAGAGCAAGTGATCACAAAACAAGAGCAACTCTCATGCCGTCTGCCTTCACAGGATCAAACCAGGAAGGTTTGCAGGATCCATCTTCAGGATGGTGGGCTGAAAAGGAAAACAGAGTTCTGCCTTCTTTTCTCCTAGAAACTGAGGCCACACCAAGTCAAGAACACTTTATTAGTATATATTACAAAAATTGGAGGGTGGGTGGGGGAGAGAGGGAGAAAACAAATCCTTCACTTGTGTCTGGCTTTCAAAGGGTACTGGGGCCGGCCTCCCTTCCGGAATACAGACGAGATGCACGACTCTGAGCAACAGTCAATGCTTCCTTGGAACATCATCTGCAGATCTTTGAAATTCTTGCCGTGCTCTTTCCACTCGTGGTATGTATCGATGACCATCAAACGGCAGACGGCTCCTTCCGTCTCGACTGGGTCAACTCAGGCTGGAGACGAGGGAATCGCCGCGGCTCTTCACTTCCGAGACTGCAGAGGAAGGGAATTCGGCTCTCCCGGCCTTTTCTCAACTGCAACCTCCTACTGCACGCTTAAAAGAGGGCTTATTTACAAGAAGAAATATCAAAACAGTCAAACCAGTTGTTTTATTAAACATATTAATATACAATTCAGAGACGGACTGGCAGCTACCTTGCTGCCTGCTTTGCCCCACTCGGGTTCTCGCGCCCCCCCCTCCCAGCACAAGAAAAAACACTTGAAATCAAAACAAGTCAACAAAGTTCCAACTCTTTTTTTTGTTTTTTTTTTAAACAGGCACAAAAATGAGAAAGCACATCAATTATTTACAGCATCTTCAACACGGCAGCTCTCCCGCTATCCTGGCCCACTTCTGAGTGGGTTTTCCCAATGCGGCCGTCTCCTCTGGCTGGGTGAATGGGGTTGCATTTTTGCTACCTTGAGATGTTTTGCTACAGCCCAAAACAGGGCTCCATGAGGCCACTCTGTAAACGGGCTGCGTGGGCTTAAAACGTTTTCCCTGGGCGATGCCCATCTCCCCTCTCAAGGAAGGCTGGCCAGAATGCTGAAGGGAACTGCTCCAGACATCTGGCACACAGATCCACAGGGAAGACGTTCCCGAGCAACCCTGTGACACAGAGCCTGGGAGGATAATTTTTCTCACCCATGAGCACTGATTGGAGCCAATAACAGCCTTCCAGCTCTGCCTCACCAAAACAGCTGTAAAGCCCCTGGTCGGTGTCTTCCTCACTTTGGAAATCCTGTCCTTCATAGGACAGACTATTAACAATTTTCATTAAAAATACGGGCTTATTTCTTTTCTTTTGTCTCTCTGAGGTCAAATACAAAAGTTAACCACAAACGGAAGCCAGGGGCAAACCTACACCGGATCATTTTTCCAGCCTGACAGCCTGTTGGTTTTTGCTATGTTATTATTTTATAGACATATATGTACACTGCCACCATTAGTTAACTGTGAACAAACTGAAGTAGAAGAAGAAAACCAGGTGAAAAAGAAAAAAGAAAAGGAGGGAAAAGACATGGAACTTTACCATTAAAATATCTCGCCTTTTAACCAATAACCTTCCTTTTCAGTATTTTTCCTGCAAGATGCTCAAACAGCACCCACAATTATTAGAAGCCGTTTCCTATTATACACAGACAAATTGTGGAACAGTATGAATCAGGTGTTTTCATTACTTCCATATTTCTCTCTCTTAAAAAAAAACAAAAATTGAGAGAGAGCGAGAAGCAGAAATAAGAAATTTCACATTCTTTATCCTAGAAAGGAAATAAACAAAGTAAACAACCACTGCTTGTTCAATATTGCTTTCACACTTTTGCATTCTTAAGACTGTCTTTAAAATCAGAAGCAACGACCACCCAAAGACAGAGGCTGGTTAGGGGCCCGACCTCTCGAAGGGAGACCTCAGGCCACCTAGAGCTTTTCAGCCACCTGCTCTCAAAAGAGAAGCAACAAAACCCTTCCTGTTGTCTGAAAATAAAGCACATACTGAGAAGAGCAGAAATCATGCTGTGAAGGGCAGGGAAAGGCGTGCAAACAAGAATCACAGTATTAAATTTGCTCCCTATGACAAAGACGTTGTTGAGTCAAGCTAGGGACACACACGCTACCAAGTCAACACTAAGTCTGAGGGCCAGAACCTCCAGAGGACGCTTCCTCCTACTGGTCTCGTGAACTCTCATGCAGGCTCAGAATAGATTTCCTTTCCTACCTGCTCATATCCGAACGCCCTGGACTACAACACACATCACCTGCAGCCAGCCCAGTCCTGCTAACTAGGAATGATGGGAACTGGAGCCCTAAACACCCAGAAAGCTCGAGGCAACGGGAGGAAGACTGATGGAAACAGACCCTGCTCTCCTTCAGAGTACTCAGGAGAAGCTTAAAATGCCTTTGAGATGACGCTGCCCCTTCCCTAGTCAGGGTGGTCACCTGTACAAATATTACATGACCAAAGCCCTCACACCATGGCTAAGCTTGAGAAAATGAGTTATTTTATCAGCTGAGTGAAAGAAGAGGAAACAACACTTTTACAGGATGGACATGGGGAGCGTGCATCTTTTACAGGCTGAGTTAGAAAGAACAGACCCAGGGCCTTTTAGCACAGAGGACGTATCACATTAAAAAAGAAAAACCGTCATGAATCCAGGACCTTTAAAGTCCACTCAAAGTATAAAAAGCTGCCCACCCAATAGTTTTGTGTTCTCTCTTTTTTTTTTTTTTGGTAGCTGTGTGCATACAAGACGTGGAAGGTGGCTCTGACAAATGCACACAGCAGCAGAATATCTGGAGATGAAAAAGGCAACTTTCCTGTTGCTTATTAGAGGGCAGATAAAAATGCAATTATTCAGAGTGTTATACTTTCTAAGCAGAAAGTCAAGCGCACCCACAGCAGTGGTGCCAAAACACTGGAAGAAGAGATGGAGGGGAGAGTTTGAGATCAGAGCGGGTGGGGGAAGAGAGACGCTAACCTGCTTGGCGCTGTTCCTTTCCTAAGCAGCATGCGCCATGGGTCTGGAGGGAGGCATGTCTAGGGAAGGGAAGGAGCCGGGTCCCGCAGGCAGAAGCAAGCACCAGGGGGTCCAGGGGGGCTGCAGGGCAATGCTAAGGCCAGCTCCCAGGGAGAACCTTGTCCCTGAAGGGCCGCCTGCTGCTTTGGGTGGGAGTGAAAAGAGCTCATTGCTTCCTCGTACGGCAGGATACCCAGCTGGCGTCCAAAGGAGTCAGGTGTGCCTCCCTGTAACTCTTCCCTCCCCTCCTGCCAAGTCCGAGGTAGCCCTATGGTTATGAGCGGAAGGACAGCAGGGATGGGGGGGAGGAGCACTCCTCAACCACCTCGATTAGGCAACCTCGTTGCAGATAACGCCAATTTTAAGAACTCAAAACCCTGGCTAAATCAAGACGATGCTATTGCAGCCTGGCAGACATTCATCATCCACTGAAAAATGAAAATTTAAGAAACTGGAAGCGTCAGGGAGAGGACAAAAGAAAGGGGGAGGGGGATATGCAGAAATACCAATGACACACATGGCACCATTTTCCTACTGCTGGCAGAACCCTGGTGGGACACAAAGAACAGAGACCAAGCGTATTAAGCTAAAAACAAAGCACTAGAGTCACAAGGGTTAGAGGGAAGGAGAAGAAAGAAGCAGTAGGTACAGGAAGGGTTAGAACTGGCAAGCCCATTCTTGCACCTTTTCTCTGTCTTGAAGTATTTGCTGCCCCTCCTCCGTCTCTAGCAACCCTCTCCCTTTCTAGGACAGAGTCCCTATTTGGTATTACTGTCTTTTCCTTTTTTTAAAAAATCCCATATCTGATTAACTTGCAGCTACTAAAAGTGTTTTTTTTTATTTTGAATACCACCCTAAGATTTGTCGTTTTTTTTTTTAAAAAAAATTAGTTCTCAAAAAAATCTTTTTAAGGTCAACAGCTAAAACAAAAACTCAAGAAAGCAACAGGAAAATAAAAATAAAATTGCCATATAGAACATACCTTAATTGACAACAG